GCTTGCACTGACCACCTATGTGACCCAGGGAAGGAGCCCAATCCCTGAGCCTGAATACCAACAGAGATGGATAGTGGAGTCTACTGCAAAACTTGTCTTGGAGGGTCTTTGAGCAAATGGAGGCTGAGACCCCTCTCGTACTGAGTGTGTATGACTGCTGCAGAGGCGTGGCTGTGGTTAGAGCCCACTGAAGGATTGAGGCAACCTCATAGTTGTGTGTGTTCATTATGGGCTCTTAGTGTGGTGCCCTCTGCTAACTGAGTAGATGGCTGGTAAGAAGAGAATGGGCTTCAACAGGGAGAGAGGCAACTGACACTGGGGGCTCCCTGTGGCACCGTGCAAGGGTTTGCCGGAAGGGGGCTGAAGGCCTATTCAATCACGGTCGTGCAGCAAACACAGGCTCCAGAAGTCAAGCTTCTGTTTCCTGGCCACCATCTTGCTTTGCCTCCTTCAAGGCCTGCCCCTCTCTGGGCCCGTTTCTCTTTCTGGAGGACAGAAAGAAGGTCCGTGAGGAGTAAGAGTTGAGCTTCCACGGAGGGAAACTTTCTCGCACCTGAAGCCTCCAGGCCTGTTGGGATCTGCTGGCCTGAAGGGGATTTCCTGGGGCGGGCCCTGTTCCTAGCGTTGCTGACGGTGCCCTTGGATGGGTGCCCAGAATTGGGGGGCAGTGCTCAGAGCGGCGTTCCAGTGGGAAAAAGAGGCGGGCACACTCCCAGTACACACACTGCTGGCCCTGCCTCCGGGTCCTGGGGTCTCCCCACCTTTATCCCTGAGGTGAGGAAATAGGGCATCTCGCTTGTTGAAGGAAGCAACACTGCCCCTTGGCCCAGGATCCTGATGTCTTTGCTGTGTGACCCCAGGCAAGTCCCTGCCCATTTCTGGGCCTTGGTCCCGGTTTGTACAGTGAGGAAGGCAGAGATTTCCAAGTTCTTTTGGAACTCTGACACTTGAGATCTGGTTGGGGGCTGGGGGTCCTGGGAAAGGGGGTAGGATGGGGCTGGATTCCAGAGACTCGCCTCCCCCTATAGAATAGGAGGTATGGAGGCACAGGGTAGATGGTGCAGGGGAAAAGGTGCCCCAAGGCTTCAGGTGGCTCCAAGAGGGGGCCAGGCAAGCCCTAAGGCTTGGAAACATGTTTATTCTGAAGTGTCTGGTGTCACTAGGGCTGTTTCTTTGGGGTTTGAAATGCCCCAGAAGTCAGCACTCTGCATGTGTGTTTGTTGAGTAGAACATGGGCTGTATTTATTCATCCTTTCGCCTGAGCCCTTAAAAATATAGACGGCTAATGTCTTCAGTATGTATGAAATATCCCATATGCTCGGAAACAAAAGGGGCTCTGTTATTAAAGTTTCATTTCCACACGCCCCCTCCCCTCCCTCCCGCCCGCCCCCTGACACCCTGCCCTCCTCCCATCCCTTTCAGCCTGCTAGAGACAGCAGAGAGAGGAGGCAGGCGGGCAGGCGGTGGGCAGCGAGCTGCCGTGGACAGAGGTTGGGCACAGCCGGCTTCCTCTCCAGTGTGTGCAAAGTCCAGCTCCAGGTGAGGGGGTGATAGTGGGCAAGGGCCCGTCGAGTTTTCCTGAGGAGAAAGGGCCCTGGGATGTCCAGTGGGGAGTGGGAGCTGAGATGGCCCTTCTCGTGGGCTCTTATGGAGCTGGGGCCCTGGCAGGGTCCCACTGTCTGGGACGGAAATGCCCGCTCTGCAGCTAACTGAAACCACATGTGCCTCCCATGCAGCGGGACAAGGACGCTGCCTGGCCTGAGGCTTGGGACTAGGAGAGAAAAGATGTAGGCTGGTCTGCAGTGTGCTCCAGGGTAGGTGAAGGGCTAGGCAGGAAGGCGTGTGTGCGTGTGTGTGTACGTGCATGTGTGTGTGCGTGTGCGTGTGCATGTGTGTAAGTGCGTGTGCGCGTTGTGTGCGCATGGGTGTATATGTACGTGTATTGGGGCTATCAGAGTGCTAGAGATGTAAGGTTGTGTGTGTGTGTGTGTGTGTGTGTGTGTGTGATGTGCATGCATGAATGGGTGTGTGCCCATCTCCAAGCTGAGGTGTGTCGACTCACAGGGCTCACACAGCCTCCCTCCTGGCCCAGTGGGCTCTGGACTTTACCAGGCTCCATCCTGCCCACTGCTGTCTTTTATGCATTTCCTGCAGCTACATTTCATCTTCTCTTACTTGTGGAACTTCTTCTCATTTGCCAGATGAAATAGCAGAAGACAGGGAGGGAAATAGCAGCCCCCTTTCCCATCTGTTTCCTGTTCTTCATAGTGTTCCCTCACCTTTGGGAACTTGACATTGTCACCATAGCCCTGGAAGGTAAGGACACTAAGCTTGAGTCAGGGGGCAGCTTGTCCCTGGCCACTGGGAGGATTGGGGGAAGGGCTGCGTACACTCAGGCAGGCAGCATTGGTTGGCAGGGGTGAGGACTTAGGCTCCAGGAAAGACAGGTCCTTCCTTCTCCATTCTTTGGCCAGTGGGATCATTTCTGAGGGCCAGGTAACCCGAGTCCAAGGCCATTTCTTCCTGAAGAATGAGCCTTGCAGGGAACTAGCTTTCTATTCAGGTGGTGGCCCTGCCAGGCCTTGCTGCACAGGGCCCCGCCCATCACCTGGCTTCGTCTTCTTGCCTACATTGACATGGTTGGGTCAGGGCGGTGCTTCCAAAGCCCAGCATGCCTACCACTGGCAGCTCATGTCACAGTGCCCTGTGCACTGCCGGTTTTCATCTTATCAAGAAGTGTGTGTTTGTCTTACTTATACTGTGAAGAATAAACAAGCAGCATCTCAAAACTGTGAGGAGATTTACTCTTCTACAATGAATGGAAACTAGGACTCGGTAGAAAATCCTTTGAGTCCTGTCCTTTTGGGCAGTGCCTCCTTTTACGCTCATAGCACTGAAATTGCTCTCAGGAGTGTTGTTTCTTGGGCTGGGTATGTAACTCAGTTAATAGAGTGCTTGCCCACGTGTATAAAACCCTGGGTTTGAGTCTCATTACCGTAGAAACCAGGATTGGTGGTGTGTGCCTGTAATCCCAGTGGCTGGGACGTGGAGGTCATCCTCCAATATATATCATTTGAGGCCAGTATGGGATACATGAGACCCTGTCTTACACATACAAAAAGAATCTAATTCTAGCTGTTGAGAGCCAGATGTGATCTGCTGTGGAGACCATCCTTTGGTTCTGCAAATTAGCAGTACTAATTTCCGTGAGTTTAGAGGAGAAAGCCCAGTTGCTACCTTGTGTGCATGCATGCGTGTGTGTGTGTGTGTGTTTTTGTGTGTGTGATGGGTGCTGTTTGAGAAAGCAAGGGCCAGCATGGGTAGAGGGGAAAGATCAGTTTATTCTTAATGTGGATTTGGTGTCCAAGGTCAAAGGCAGGGTCTTGGGAAAAAGAATGTCCCCTGAGTGGCATTTCAAGTGCTTCCTCTGGTCACAGCCTCCTTTGAATTGCTGAGAGGGCCGGGTGGAGGCTGTCCTAAGGCCACTGTGGCTCACGCCTTTCCTGCCATTCACTACTAGCTCCCAGCTACTTGGCTGTGATTTAGATGCTGGGCCAGGACTTACCCCAGGTAGGGAGTGCTGGGGGGACTTGCAGGGGTTGGGGGGGGGCTTAGCAGCATCTTAGTTACTTCTTCAGGCTGAGTTGGTCTAAGATGGCACCCGTGAGGACATGCCCCTCTTGCATGAGTTCACTGTGGTTGCTGTTGTAGCTTGGTTGTAGCTTGTTGTAGCTCATACACAGAGCTTCACTGGGCGCTTTCTTATCATCAGCTCTTGGGAAAGACTTATTCTGCTGTTGTGGTACAGCATCTTCTCTGACCATTCTTTCTTGTCTCAGCCCATACCAAGCAGAGGGCACCGGTCTTTGGCACACAGTGGCAGAGAGCGTCCTTGGTTAGGGAGGAATTCATGACCTTTTCTTGCGAACGCAGCAGGTGGAGGAAGGAGCTGAAGGCTGGGTTCCTCATACATTTACCACTAATATGTTGCGTGACCACGAACTTGCCCCTTATATCCGCTTTCTCCTCTCTAACCCAAGGAATCCTTGTCTTTGGTTGGACTGAGCACTCCTGGAATGTTCTTGTTCCTCTAGAAGGATGCTTCCCCTGCAGAATGTGGATGGCTCCCTCAGGCAGGTTGGCCGACTGGAGCCATCCGTCTTCTGATTGTCCAGGTTTCTTTGGTGCTGGTGGTAGCTTTGTCAAACTCTGAGGAAGCAACTGGCTAGGTGCAGGGGCATAGTTTCTGCCTGTAGAACTCAGCACATCTGACAGGCCTGCGGTGGCCTTGTGAGGCCTGCTGAGTCCTCACAGGCACTCCACAGCCAAGGCCATGCAGACCTGCCCTGGGCCACGCCTGAGAGTCATGGGGTTCAGCTTGACCGAGGCTCTGCTCAGCGGGCAGGATGTGAGCTGCAAGACCAGCTTTTCCCCAAAGAAATGTCCTCATTTAGAGAACAGACCTGCTTCTGTTACGGCGATCAGTGACAGAGGCGTAGGATTAGCGCTCCACTGAGCTCCCTCGTCACAGCCATGCCTGGGCTCGCCACCTCCTCCGGTTTCCTTGAATCCTTTTTCTGGGATTGTTAGAAGCAGAGTGGAAGTAGTCAAAGCAGTTTATCTGTCGTGTTGCACCCGAGCTGTTAGTGACAATGTCCACTACAGGCAAGGGGAAACTGAGGGCTACAACTGGGCTAAGAAACAAAGGATCAAGCCAGGCTCTGTAGCTCCCGCTGGGGTCGCTAGATCCTTGTGAGCATCCGGGCTCTACTTTCCTGATCTGTAAGATGGGTCACCAGAAACTGACACAGTAACCAGGACAGACTGATACGTACACACTCAGTAGACATGAAGGCCATAATAGTTCCATAACTCTGCTGACCGAAGGGAGGGGTGTCACCATCCTGTGACAGAGAAGACAAGACAAGGGGCCCTGAGGTCTAGGACCAGCAGACCCCAGACTGGGCTCTAATCCTGACCTGTGTCTCTGTGACTTATAGCAGGCCATTGAACTCTGCTGGGTCTTATTCCCTCATATGAAGCAGATGCAGGAGCAGTGCCCCCTTCATGGTGTCTACTGGACTCCATCAGCTCAAGTTCCTGGCACACAGTAAGTACTCAGATGATGGAGGCCTGGCTTGTATCTCAGATGAAGCCCCTCCCACAGTCCTTTCCTGCTGCTTCAGGTCACGGTCCACATAGTCAGTTGGCTCACTAGCCAGCAGCTTCAGGTGCCTTGCCTCAGGGCTCATCTTAGACTTTGCCATGAACAATGCCAGACTAGGTCTTGGAAGGGCTCACTCCAGGATCATAGGATGGGTGCGGCCAGCGGTGGGGCAAAGACAGTGGGGTGGCTTCATACCTGAAGAATATTAAGTAGGACACACTTGGGGGAACGGAGACCTTGAGAGGGAAAGGACAGGAAAAAAGAAAGAACGGGGGGTGGGGGGGGGGGAACCTAGACCAAACGGCCCTTGAGCTCCCCTTAAAAACAGAAAAGGGTTAAGAGAACCAGAACACAGAGGAATACATATTCAGGAGGAAGCCTGGAGTGCTAAGATGGGGTTGTTTAGTCTGGCTGAGCAGCCTCCTGGATCACTCCCGGGGTCTGCAGGCTGCCCCTACCATGTGCACGAGCAAATGAACATACTGAGGTTTAAACATCAGTGGGCATGCACCTCACACACAGAAACAAGCCTACAGCCACATATCAGCATACAGACACACAGAGGCATATGGACACACACACACACACACACACACACACACACAGCAGTGAAGTTCCAAGCCGGAGGGAGGTGCTGGGCTCAACCTGCTGCCTCTCTTCAGCCTCACTCTGCAATGTTATTAACTCTTGCCATGTATGGAGCCAGGCTCTAAACCCTTGTATGACCTCACTCAGTCCTCACAGTACCCTGTGAGACAGGCACTGTCCTTAGCCCTGATTTGCATATGGAGAAATCCAGTCCCAGAGAGGCGAGCAGATTGCTGGAGGTTGTAGTTGGTTTAGTAGCTTTTCCGAAGCAGACCACCAGAGTGCAGAACTTTAGCTGGTGTGTCTGAGTCACTAAGGTCCTACCATGACCCGGACATGGGGGCTCATCTCTGCACCTCCACCACGGTCAGGTCCAGGGCAGCAGCGATAGGAGTTGGCCCCTTTTCAGGCCTAGGCAAGGAGAGCCATGCTCATGTCAGACTGGAAGAAGCAGGCTGGGTCTCTGTGTGTGTCTAGCTCAGGCTTTGATGAAGAGCAGAAGCAGTGACAGGGTGGACCTGCACCTGCCTGATCCTTGAGCATCTTCCATCACCCCCTTTTCCTTGGCTCACCCCATTCCTCTCTCCCCCACCCACCCAGCTACTACCTCAGCAAGCACGTTCCAAGCTTTGGGCTGCTAGTTGTATTTCCCTTCTATTATTCTGCGTCAGCTAGCATGTATGATGGCAGAGGAAGTCATTATCATCTTTTAACAGGCTTAAGTCTTGGCTCTACCCTGCTCCCAAGAGTTCATACATGTGTGGTGTGTGTGTGTGTGTGTGTGTGTGTGTAAAACTAAAACATTTATAATCTGTCTATTGGGCTTAGAATGACAACTGCGCAGGTATGGGACGTAGAACACGGGGTACAGACAGATGTACAGTGAGGTCTTTGTGGACAGTGGTCAAGCGGCTGTTGAAAGGAAACATCACCACACTGATCTAATGTTTCTCTTTGTTGATGTAGGTAGGATGTCTAGAATGGTGAGGTGTAGATTTTGCATGGGTCTGGGTCTGGTTTTCCACTTCTAAGAAATGATGGGACGGGCTCCCAGCAGGGAGGGTGGGCAGGATGAGAAAGAGGCCGTGTGTTCTTGTAGGTCTCAATGAAGGTTAGCTGCATAGGAGAGGTGAGCATGCCCAGAGAACAGAGATCAGTGGTGGCAGCGGCAATGGTTTGAGGTACCAGAAGAGAGGCCTCAGTCTGTAGGAAAGGGGTTCTGAAGCGCAAGAATGTTCTGGCAGCTGGGCGGTGGTGGCACATGCCTTTAATCCCAGCACTCGGGAGGCAGAGGCAGGTGGATCTCTGTGAGTTTGAGGCCAGCCTGGTCTACAAGAGCTAGGTCCAGGACAGGCTCCAAAGCTACAGATAAACCCTGTCTCTTAAAACAAAACAAAACAAACAAACAACAACAACAACAACAACAAAAAACCCTCTAGTTTTGGAGGAAACACATCCTGACACCTTGGAGGTACCAGCTGTTGCTGGGTGACTAGTGAAATGGATTTGGAAATCATAGAGATGGGCTGGAAAGATGGCTCAGAGGTTAAGAGCACTCACTGGCTGCTCTTCCAGATGACCCGGGTTCAATTCCCAGCACTCATATGGCTCACAATCATCTGTAATTTCAGTCCCGGTGGTCGGATGTCCTCTTCTGATCTCTATGGGTACCATGCATGAATTGTGGTTCACAGAAATACATGCGGGCTAAACACCCATACACATAAAAAGAAGTCAGTACAATTTAAAAATATATAAGGACTCCAGAAATCACAGAGGTTAGCCCCCTCGGGGTCAACATTTGACCACTCAAATTAGTGTCCCCGTGACACTGCTGTTTTTGTTCTAGGCGCTAAAGATGTGGGGCCCTCAGGGGAGAAATGGACATGTCCTACCTGCTCTGAGTACTGCATGTTGGTGCAGCCTCATCTTCAACCCTCTTCACTCCTTCCAGGACATGGTTTCTTAATTGGAGAGACACGTACTTACCAGAGTTGAGGGAACTATTGGCGAGCACCTGGAGCAACCTTCTCATTTGGTGGAGGGGTAAACTGAGGCAAACGAGGACAAGTTGTTTGAAGCCAATGGGTAGCCTACAATAATACCAGCCTGAATGCACCTCAGCTCTTCTGAAATCAGTGGACTCAGAGGAGGTGGTGGGTTATAGTTCTAGCTCAAACGTGTCTCCAGCCCTAGGCTCCTATGTCCCCAGCCTGCCAGGCCAGTGAGGGACTAAAAACATTCCTATCAGAGAAGGCTTTCTGGAGGAGCCTGCATGCCCTTCACCACAACTCAAGGCACTTCTGGCTTCAGATATGTTCGTGTGCACTTACTTACTTAGGCCCTATAGATGGCATCCATTTTTTTTGTTTTGTTTTGTTTTTGATTTTTCGAGACAGGGTTTCTCCGTAGCTTTTTGGTTCCTGTCCTGGAACTAGCTCTTGTACACCAGGCTGGCCTCGAACTCCCAGAGATCCGCCTGCCTCTGCCTCCTGAGTGCTGGGATTAAAGGCGTGCGCCACCACCGCCCGGCTGGCATCCGTTTTTGTAGGTCAAGGGATTTGATGGCCACTATAAAAGGAAGGAATGGAAGTCTCCTCCTGACTTGCCCCCAACAGAGCATTTTCTGTTTCCTGAAATTACTTGGCACTTTTTTTTTTTATTGTTTCCCTCTTTGCCCTCCTGACCTTGCTCTCAAACCCAGGAGAGTCCTTGCTTGACTCCTAGTCCTTAGAGCAAGCTTGATACACGGTGTGTGTTCAGGAGCTGCTTGTCAGAGCTGGGGATGGTGGCTGTCTTAGTTAGGGTTTCTATTACTGATAAGAGACTCCATGGCCACAGCAACTCTTATAAAGGAAAACATTTAATTGGGGGCTGGCTTACAGTTTCAGAGATTTAGTCCATTATTCTCATGGCGGGCAGCATGGCAGTGTGCAGACAGACATGGTGCTTGAGAGGTTGCTGAGAGTTCTGTACCCAGATCTGAAGGCAGCAGGAAGAGAGAGTGAAGAAAGTCACACTGGGCCTGGCTTGAGCATCTGAAACCTCAAAGTCCACCCCCAGTGACACACTTCCTCCAACAAGGCCACACCTCCTAATAGTGCCACACCCTATGAACCTATGGGGGCCATAGGTTCACTCAAATCACCATAGTGACATGTTCCTGCAGTCCCAGTACACTGGACACAGAGGCAGGAAGATCATTATAAGGCAGCCTGGTCTACAAAGTCAGTTCTTGACCAGCCAGGGCTGTATAAAGACTTCCAAAACAAAATGAGGGAAGGGGCGGGAGGGGGGACTAGGTGGTGGCTCATGCTTGTAATCATAGCATTTAAGAGTCTGAGGCAGCTAGATTAATGTTAGGTTAGCCTGGGCTACATAGTGATTTGAAGGCTAGCCATGGCAATTGGCTATGCAATGAGCCCTTGTGAGAGAGAGAAAGAGAGAGAGAGAGAGAGAGAGAGAGAGAGAGAGAGAACAATTTCAGTGAGAAAAGCTGACATGGCTCAGGGAGAGGACTACTAACCAAAACCCTTCCTGCCCAGGCCCTCCCTGTATCTGCCCCTCCTGTGTCACCTCATTTCAGCCCCACCACAGTGCCCACAAGGCCCTGTATTTGGCCCCATTTTACAGGTTGTCAAATTGAGGCTGAGAGGCTCAGCAGCTTTTCCTGTCCCGTGTCATCTCCCACCCTGTATGACGCTCAAGCTCCTGCCTCACTCTCTTGACTCCTGCTGTCTTCACTGTGTGCTCCCGCAGTGTCCAGGGCCCGTGTACGTCCAGCTGGGCTGACTGAAAACTGGGGAAGGGAAAGGATGCATGCACGCTGTCAGACCTTTTCCCAAGGACTCCCTCATCTGCCGTTCTTTATACCCCGTCTGGAGAGGCCTGCTAAGGAGCTTCCCAGACCCCTTGGCTCCCTACCACTGGGGGGAGTCGGCTTATTTACTGAGGCATATGATATCCAAAAAGCCACTTAGTCCAGAGCTCAACTTTCCCAGCTTGGCTACTCTTCGCTGGGAAATTTCTCTGTACAGGACTTGCTCCAACCCCCACCATGGCTTTGAGAAGCACATACTATTCCCTCACTCCCACCCCAGACAGAGTTTTTCTCTGCAGCTCAGACTATCCTGGAACTCACTCGGTAGCCCAGGCTGACCTTGAACTCCCAGAGATCCACCTGCCTCTGCCTCCTAAGTTCTGGGATTAAAGGTGTACACCCCACCTGGCTAAGTGTGTGCTATTCTTATCTCAGGCTGTCGTGTTTCTCTTATAGACAGGGTCTCCGTAGCACAAGCTTGTGTGGAATCCACTAGGTTGTCCAAGCAGGCCTCCAACGCTCAGTCCTCCTGCCC